ATCCTTGTCTGTGTAGCAGTTTAATGTGTGCCATGACCGCAAGTGGTTGCCAAGGTAACTGCGTGCAGGCATGTGGCAGACATGCACTTAGATGCTATAAGGATAACTGGGTGAAGTCAGTGGTGTTAAATTAGATAGTATATAGTACTAGTAATAATCGATCCTAAAATATAATCATAAATTTGTACTATATCAAATTAAGGCTAATAAAAACCAACTAGCATTGTTACCAAAGTTCAAAAAAAAAAAAAAAATTCTTTACAAAAAAATCAATTATCTTATAAATTATTATTTCAATAAACCAAATTTTTTGTAAAAGATTTTTTTGTTAATTTCATTCTTTTTTTAGCATTAAGCCCAAATAATCTTAAATAAAATAAAAAATTTAAAAAAAAATAGTATAATAATAAATATTGATAAGAATAAATAGCTTGAATATATGAATTAATGAATGATCGAGAATAACAATCCTAGTATAGTGATTGGATTATCATTCTTCAAGTAACAGATCTAAGGTTCAATCTTATTTACAACAAAATTTAAAAATTATATCTGCATTATGATAACTTTTTCCTATTAATTAGTTGGTCTTATGAGGCTATAATTCAGATACACCAAGTCAGGTCTTACTGATATTAGAAGCTCAGAATATCTATGCAAAGTATAATGTTATACATATATAGAAGAATATATAACCAATATTATATAAGATTTTAGTGCAAATCCATAATAAAACCATCAGACATAGAAGACTAAGGAACCAAATTAATAAAAACTTATTTGAAAATTTTTGAGTAAAGAGATAACATGAACTTTTGACAGTACTATTAGACTGATTGAAACCTACAAAACACCTTCATAGGAACTAAAAGTTAAACTAAATGTCAAATATGTGTAGAGAAACATATAACCAACCAAACCACCAGATTTGTTAAAAGAAAAGGATACAAAAATATATCATACTAGACTATCTGGATTAGTAATCTGAAAAAAACTATCAGTTCTAAGTTGCAACTAGTAGAAGATAATGAAAAAGATACTAAAAAAATAGGTACTGAGGTTCTAATGAACTTTACAAGACTAAAAATAATATAACATAATAGTTAAACAGATAACTCCTATGACTGCAAGTATTAAGTAACTATAGCATGTTGCATAAACCTAAATTTATATGTATAAAACATAAAAGCTCTAGTAAGTTTTTTGTCAAAAATAAATTGAAATTAACAGAGTATAGGATTGATTTTTCATTTATATAATTTTCTAATATTATATAAAAAATTTATTTACATTAAGATTTGGGTTTGAAAACAATAATATAATAAAATTGTATAAGAAAAATTTTTTGTTAGAACCAAAAAAACAATTTACTAATCTATATTTTGTAATAAATATAAATTTTGCAAAATAAATGTTTGTTTTGATTTTCTTTACATTATATCTAATCTTGATTTTTAATTGACTAACTGATATTAGAAAATCATATGAACAGAAAATCAATCTTATACTCTGATATTGTTAAGATAAATTAATCCTAAGAGTAATAACCAGCATCAGGAACTTGGATAGGTGTAACTTTAAAATGTTTCTGTAATACAAAAAGAATTGCATATGCAGAAGGTTTAAATAGACAAAACCTCTAATTGGCTTGCAGGTATGACAACTAGTGTAAAATTTATATAGCAATGTGTAAGTGAACTACTTAAATTAAGCATCAAAAGTGCACGTGTGGCTAGTTGTAACCTCCAATGTAAGGTGAGCCCCTGGTGGCATGCATCCCCAAGATAAGGACTTTAACTATAAAAAAAAAACAAAAAGAATTAATGAATGATCTACATACTGTATAGTTTTCTTCATTACTTTAATAATGTACTAACCTTTCAAGACTTGATTTTGCCAAAAGCTATCGTTCAGACGTGTCAAGTGACACTTTTTAGATAGTGAATTTGCAAACCTAAAAAGAATGTAACGAAAATAGACAAAATAATGGCTTATGTTCAAGAGTATGCTATTTTATAAGAAGAAGGTCGTTTATTATGTTTTTGATACCTTTTAGCTCGCAGAAACTTCAGCATTAATTTTTGTCTTAGGGAATGTAGCATACTTTAACTAAGCTTTTAGGTAACATTTTAAAGATGTAATTTCGTCGTTTGTGTGATTTATGAAATCATATGACAAAATTTTAGATGTGACAAATCGGGTGTCTGATAATTTTTTTTTACGTGTGACATGTCGATCTAACGTTATCGATATTGATGTGATTACGTTATGCTTACGTGTCCCAAATTCTTGATAAGTATGTAAGTTCTATTCGTTTTAACTAATTTGTTCTTTAACGCATAATGGTTCAGAAAAATAACAATAACCAACGTAGATCAAACCGCCTAAAAAAATCTAATAACGACTCAGAACAACCGTCTCCAACTAAGCGCGTAACAAGAGCTACGGCAAAAAAATTAGAAGAGAGCAGCAAAAACAAACCAGTAGAAACGACTGAAGAAGAAACTATGGCAGTCGAGAATCAAGACATTGAAATGGAGCATGCCGATGAAGTCGATGATACTGAAAAGAAGGCTTTAGAGGCTGATGCTTTACTGTTATCTGGTTGGTTTCTTTTAAGTGTTTTTGAGATCAAATTTGAAGCTTTGTAATTATTCATAATATTGATGTATAGATCTCAGACAAAACTTCACCCTTCTGGAACGTGCTGTGTCTACTATCGAGTCACGGTTCACAACACGTGTTCTAAGAACTACTGCATCCATCAGGAAACGTTTGACCGGAGATCTCTTGGCTCAAGCAATCAGAGATATTTATCCAAAAGGTCAGCAAATAATGTTTAATTTGCATGTTTGTGCCACAAACGATTCTTGATCATGAGGAATGTTGCCACATCACTATAGAGATCATCAATGAAATGGCATACTCACCGGATTTCACGAAATTATTAACAAACTGTTAACCAGGAATGCTGATAACCATGATCTTTGAACTTTGACAAATAGATTCTGCAGATAAAGCCAAACTATTGAATTATTTGGGAAAGGTACCACAATATTTCTAACTGTTGAAAAGACTAATCATTATATATTAATTCTTTTGTGTTCATCACTTAAAATATTAGGATACTATTGTCATGGATGTTGACGTGGACGATTCTGGAAAAGATAATCCTCCAATCTTACCGGAGATTGATCTTTACCTCCATTTATTATTGATGATATATTTGCTAGACAAGCAAGAGTTTGAAAAGGTAACTTACTTAATATTTTTCCTATCATTGTTGTAAGGCATTAACTAAAATTCTCTAATTAATATAAGGGTATTCAACTTTCTAATGAAACTATTGCCAAAATTCAAAGTTTGAATCGTCGTACGTTAGATCAGTTGTCCGCACGTATCTATTTTTATTATGCTCGATTCTACGAGCTTACAGGAAATTTGGCTGTAATTAGACCGTATGTTTTTTCACATCTTCTCTATTAAACCATTTTTGGTATTTGGACTAAATTACAATGAATTTCGATACTTAGAGCTTTGTTAGCGGCCCAAAGAACTGCTACTTTGCGTCATGATGATGATTCTCAGGTATTTTAACACTTAACGTCATGTTCCCTTTCCAAAATTTCAAACTAAACCTTCTGTACTTGTACAGGCTACGTTACTCAATTTGCTACTGAGAAATTATTTTCATTATAATTTGTACGATCAAGCTGACAAGCTTGTCAGTAAAACTACCTTTCCTGAAACCGCTGGAAACAACCAGCAAGCTAGATACATGTATTATTTAGGTAAGTTTTTTATTTTAATACCTTTTAAACTGATATATACATCATGTACAGATAATATTAAAAGAATATTCATTTTTATTTAGGTCGTATTAAGGCCATTCAGCTCGATTACACAGTATCGCATACTCATTTATTGCAAGCCATTCGTAAAGCACCTCAAAATGTTGTGACAGCTGGCTTTCAGCAAGCGGTAAATTATTTTCGAATTTCTTTTAATTTTTGTACTTCAATAACATATATATTTCTAAATTGAACACTATTAGGTATATAAGCTTTCAATCATTGTTCAACTTTTAATGGGTGAAATCCCTGAAAGATCTATATTCAGGCAACCTGTTTTAAAAAAACCGTTAGTTCCATATTTACATATTGTCCAAGGTAAATTGATGCTTTTACTACTTTTAAGCAGTGATAAAAGACCTAATGTTCTCTGTGTTCTCAAGAACACAAATAGATTGAGAGCATGATATAATCTTATTTGAGAACATAAAATCTATGAATTTATTATAATAATAATCTTTTGAGGACATTAAAGCTTCCTTTGAGAACATTAAAAAATTTTGAGATTCTAAAAAATTAAATATTTTCATTACTCCTAAGAATTGTAAACATGTCTAACAATTTGTATTGATATTTTTTCAGCTGTGCGAATTGGTGACTTGTCGAAATTTCAAGAAACATTAGCTAAATATGGTGAAGTATTCCGTGCTGATAAAACATTTACTTTGATCATAAGGTAAAAATAGCTCTATACATATGCATTATAAATATTTGTTATGTCAGATTGTATCAACATTAACTTATATACTTTTCAGACTTCGCCATAATGTAATCAAAACCGGCATTAGGATGATAAGTTTATCATATTCTCGAATTTCTTTGCGAGATATCTGCTTGAAATTGCATCTTGATAGTGAAGAGGACGCCGAGTATATTGTTGCCAAGGTTTGTTATAATATATTTTTCTTTTAAGAAAACTCTCACATAATCATTTATCAGTTACTGCCATTTTTTAGGCTATTCGTGATGGTGTGATCGACGCTACTATAGACCATGAAAAAGGTTTTATGAAATCGAAGGTAATTACTGTTGATAAATAGTTATTCTTGATCTTTTTGTAACTTAAGTTATAGTCTTTTAAATACTGTTCTAATTTTCAGGAAAACGTTGATATTTACTCAACAAACGAGCCTCAATTTGCTTTCAACCAACGTATCAGCTTCTGTTTAAATCTCCATAATGAATCAGTCAAGGTTTGTGAAATTTATTAATCGTTTTATGAAAATTCTTGCTGTTATAATAATTTATTTTTGTCAATTCATGCTCACAAAGGCAATGAGGTTCCCTCTTAATGCTCATCGAAAAGAATTGGCATCAGCTGAAGCTCTGCGTGAAAGAGAAAGAGAACTTGCAAAAGAAATTGCGGAAGGTGAAATTGACGAGGATGATGATGTTGGTGATTTCTAATATAAGAGTTTCAGAACAAATAACCCATATTTATTTAGACTGGATATACCAACTTTATACAATAAATTTGCTATGCTGTATTCGAACCTGATTGGATCAGCATATGTATTTTATTATATATAGATTTTTTGCATTTATATAGTTAGAGAATCTACCTTTAAGATTTAATAGGTCACCTTCCGTGACTTTTCCGTTCTAATCTATGCTACATCCGAAACCAGTGACTCTTAGTACTATGATCAAACAACACGCGCTAATTGATTGATCTTATCCTTGAGTGTTGTAAGGACAGTTATGTAAGTGCCTCTCTATAATAATGATTTCAGGATTTATAATCAAAATTGTGGAAGTCTACGGATATGCACATGTAACTTTTCACTTAAATTTAAATTTTAAAATATTGGCATACTGTATATAGTAAGCATAAACCGTGTTGGTGAAAAGTAATCTTTTTTTGATCGTTGGTATATTATATTGATTATCACTTAACGCTTATACCAGTATTACATAGATATAAATATTTATAGAAATTCAATATTATTGGAGATAGTAAAAAAGGTCACTGTTCAGTTATTTTTCACTAACCCGGTATATAGAATGATACTTGTACTCGCTATAACGATAAAAGCTTTATAAATTTAATACATAACAACATTACACTAGGCTGTAAACTCATACAGAGAGGTTCCCCGATTTCCGGGTCAGAATACCTCGGAATCATGATCGGAAGGACCGGAATTAATTTATTAGATAATATATATCGGGTTTAGCCACCTATTTTTGATCAAATTTGAATATTAAAGCAATCAAATTTGAACATTAGAGGGTTTAAAAAATTAACAAATAATTTTGAAAATAAGTACGTAGGGTTTTTTTATAGCGCTTTGCAATAAAGTGTGACATCATGATTGCATGATGATGTTAAAGAGGAATCTCTGAGATTCTAATAGTGAATCGGATTGAGAATTGTATACATTTTTTATATATACAATTATTTTTTTAATTATGTTTTGATCAGTGATCAATATAAAAATAATTATTACATATTTATGATTAAATAAGTATAAAGCTATTATATATATATATTTTTTTATATATGGTTTTTTTTTTTTGCTTTTGCTAAGGTCGATGTTATTGGTAGCTATCATCTTTATTTGTGCTTTTAGTCAATGCATTACATGTAACTTATACAAGGTAAGTGTGCAACTAGTTACATGTTTAACTTTTGGTTACCTATTTAAGTAGTCTGCTTAAAGGTTTTACATTAGTTGTCATACCTGTAATCTGCTAGAAGATTACCTATTTAAACACTTTGATTTTTATACTGTATCTAGGCAAGTAATACTTGGTTTCTGTACATCTAAGTATTGTCTAATCTAATATTTAATTTTTTTTTATATATTTGTTAGACTATTACACATTTTAGAATATATTATCTAATTGTAAGATCCTAAGGTGTTTTCTTGTTAACTACCTATTTATTTTATAAAACATTAACAAAATTAGTTTTTGTAAAGTTTACTTAAACCTTAGTAACTATTTTACAACATATTTTTAGTATTTTTAGTATATTTTTGTTTTGATCTTAGATTCCCAATCCAGATAGCTTGGTGGAATTGTAACCTGTTCTTGATATATCAAACCAGTTTGATATTCTTTTCTTCTGGTTTGATTTTGATAACCTGATTGGTAATACCTCTTACCTTAAGGTTCTTATCTATTCAGCTTCTTCACATTAGTATCTGTTTCTTAGGTCTTACTTTTACAGTAATATTATCAAAGATCTGTATTATTTTTTTGCTTGGATCTTTTTAAATAAGTTCAGTTTTTCTAATTTTACAGATTTATACAATTATAAAAACTTATTTTAAATTTGTATTATCTGGTATCAGTTTGTATTTTTTGTATAACCAAGATTACACAGATGTTCTATAATCTGTTAAGCATGCTAATATGATTATAGTTATAGATATCTTATTTCAACTGATTAACAGAAAAGTCATTGTTATAATATATAAGTATTATATAGATAATTATCCAAATTTTTATTATTGGTAAGTTTTGAATTCACAAACTACCACTTGAAAAATTAACAACTTATTTATTTTATTAAGTTATTATATCTTTTTTTTTTATATATAATACATTCTTTTAATAAATAATTATGTTCAATTAAATTATTATTAAAAAGCTTGTTTTAGTTATTAAAAATGCATATTTTGTAAAATTAATTTATAATAAGACAAATGTAATTGTAATTTATTTAATATACTAAATAAAGATAACCAAACAGATACTATAAAATATGCATTTATAAAAATCTTCAATCTAAATTAAATTAAAGAAAAAGTAGATTTTGTTTAAAAAAAAAAAATATTATAATTACTTATTAAGTTCAAAAGATTATTTATTTTATTTTGTATATTTATTGCAATAATAATTAGTTAAGATTATTTTTAAAAGCAAAAAAGATCCAATAAAATACTATAACTAATTTGAAAATAAATACATGTAATACTACTATTTTAATTATTGAAACTTTTGAACCAAAAAAAAAATTTTATTAAAAATCTAATAAAAAAGATTATAACAAAAAAGAACTTAAGAACTATATTAATAATAAATTTCTATTTGATGATAAAATTAAAATTATAAGATTTTTATAAAATTGGAGAATAGAATATCTTTTTAACAAAATAATATACAACTAAAGTATCTATAGTTGATAAATTACTTTTAGAAATTTATTTAAATATAGAAACTTTAGTAAATAAAACACCAATTGATTTAAATAATTATTATGTTGCATTCAAATTTAAAAAGACTATAGAAGCAAGTACTTAACTTATTAATACTTAAAACTTTAAGATGATTACCAAAAATATAAATTTAAAAGAAATAATATAGCCTTTTTATAACATTTATTAATCTGAATTTAAACTAAAAATTAAATATAAGTATATTGGTAATTATATTTATTAATAAATTATTAATTATTTATAAATAATAGTTATAACATTATATTAGAATCTTGAATCTGATAATAGTTTAAATGATGAAAATTATTAAATATTTAAGAAATAAAAACTCTATTCTAAAACTTCAAGATTATCATTAGCTAAATCATTAATTACAAAAAATATTTTAGAAATTTGTAAAATAAATTATTGTGTAATTTATAATCAACCATGTTTAAATAAGAATGAAGTTAAGAAAAATCATATTAAAATTACATTTATAATATTGTCAATTTGGACAACAGAAATAGTATATAACAGTAAATTTATAATTTATATATAATAATTTATTTATATATTAATATATTAATATTTTTTAAATATATAGAATAAAGCAATAGTATTATCTACAAAATTATCTACATATTCTTAATTTATTTATAAATATTCATCAAAAACAAAAAATTAAATGCTATCATTTATTATAATACAATAATCTAATTAATTTAACAATCTAATCTAGTGCAAACTAATTCAATCCAATAGCCTAATTTAATACAATACTCTAATTTAATGCAACAATTTAATATATTGCAAAATTCTAATTAAATGCAATATTCTAATTTAATGTTACAATCTAATTTTATTTAGCAATCAATCTTTTTAGGCCAACATTATAGTTATCTTTATTTTACAATCTATTTTTAATATATGGAGGTAAGTTAATAGAAAAGAAACAAATTTTTTTATTTTAATTCTATAGAATTTTAAGATTAAAATAAAAAAATTTTTAGCAAATATGATTAAATAGTTGTTATTTAAATTTAAAATTAAAAAAAATTTACTAAAAATAATTTGTTTCTTTTTTATTGACTTATCTTTATATATTCTTTTACAACCTTATAAAATACCTTTTCAAACTTCTATTTTATCTTTATAACAAACTATTAAAATAATATTACTTATGATTAAAGATTTCTTAAAATATATAAATAAAAATAAAACTACTAAAGACTATAATCAGAAAATTTTAGTAGTATTTAATCAATAAAATATTTCTGTATGATTACTTTTAAAATTATCAGATAAGAATTTAAAAGAATGTAAAGTAAATACAATTAGTAAGGATGTGGTGACTTAGTGAAATGAATAAGTTGTCATACCCCCAAGTGGTATGTTGTAAGTTCAAAACCCACTGATGATAAAATTTGGATAATTACTTATATAATATGGGGGTGAGTCAATAGAAACACACCAAATCTTTTTTAGTGAAATATTTTTGCAACTTTAAACAAAGGTAACTT